TGGGGTTGAGGCAGAGAACATCACCAACCTCATTGTTGACTTTTTTTGTTTGTTTGCTGTTTGCCATGTATTTTGAATTTATATGTTTATGTTTTGCCAGTAACAAATTGATAAAATCTTCATTATGTTTGTATTTTGGCCTTGTGAATATTGTTAAATCTTGGTTTACAAAATGTATTAGTGTCTTGAAGCAGCACATTGTATTGAATTTCAGATAAGCTATACATATGGTTTATTACATGTCATGTTCAAAAATTTGGCCTCAGAGGATTTTAACTCTAACCCTACTATACCCTATCCTTACCCTAACACCAGTTAACCCAACCCTACTAAACCCTATCCTTACACCGGTAATTCGTTGGTCTACTAATAAAAATATAAGACATCTGTTTATTCTCCCTGCCTTCACCATATTGACAGTTCCAGATCTACTAGGAGGTATCTACCATATTAGGGGTGGAGGGTGGTCGAGTGGTCTAACACATGTACATTAGTAGCAAACAAAACCGATAAGACAAACCTGCGGACAGGACACAATCTACACAGATATTGCAAGAAATAAACAACAAATATCAAATCAAGTAAATGAATCTGGAGGCCAGTTGTAAACATCCACTGCTTCGCTCAAAATAAAAACCAACCAATGAAGAGGTAATCGAAATAATGTGACTGGAGGGAGTTTTCTGAATGGTGAGAGTCTGCCAGTTGACAGCATGAGTTTTAACAATAAGGTTGATAATCTGGATAGAATTTCGGAAAATGCTACAAATTAATAAATAAAGTGATTATAACATCTGTCATTGATTGAAGTGGCGTGATTTCGATCCTAAGCTTGTATGTGACAAGGAGTATGGTGGCCTTTCCAAATTTGTGGGTGTTCTCGTGGTCCTCCAGTTTCCGCCCACTGCTAAAGACCCTTACACGCATTCAAATTATTAAAATAAAAAATATATACCTTAAGTTACTTGCGAAATTACTTAGTTTCTGTTGAGGGGACGGTAAACCACAATTCTCTCGCATACAACCATCCTAGATTATTAGAGGGGGTTGAATGGCTGAATGGTTAGCGTGTGCGCGCTGTATCATAAAGTCTGTCATTGAGTAGACTGGCGTGGTTTCGAATCCCCAGTTGTACGTGAAAAGGAGTAGGGTCGCCTGTCCAACTTCGTGGGTTTTCTCTGGGTCCTCCGGTTTCCTCCCACTGCTAAATTATGTAAATAAAATTAAACCATATGTTAGTCACGAAATGACCTAGTTTGTGTCGAGTGGACGTTAAACCCCATTTCTCTCTCTCTCTCTCCTAGATTATTGTCCGATATGCATAAATAGGTGTTAAGCATAAAATGTGACTCACTAAACAGAAGGTCCCATGTTCGATCCCGATTTTGGTGGAGGAGTTTCTCAGAATTTAACAGCCTGCTATCACATTCAGATAGTATGGAAGCATGTTAAAGATCCCTTGACAGTTGGAAATAGAATTAAAAGTAGACCATAGCAACATTGTCAGGTCATAATTACCCTGATAGCATTCTGCATGGTATATGCCCATGTTCATTAGCCCTGTTGGTGTTGAATAATAGAACATTTAACCCTATTTCATGTACTGGCTATGTAATTGTAGCTTCATCAGGATTTTGGGGCATGGTTCCCCCCTTGTCAGTGGTGCAGGACAGAAGGAGGACAATGTATAGTTGTTCAGATTTGATGTCCTGTGTACACATTGGTGTGCATGTAAAAGATCCCTTGTCAGTTGGAATTTGATGTAAGTGTAGGCCAAGTCTGAGCGGAACAGTAGGACATTAAACCCCATTTCATTTCATTTCCAAATTGTAGCATTGTATGTGTACTTGAACTACCACCTGAATCTGGGTCCCTCACTTGTTGCTATTTTAGTTGATAAAAAACATGGTTAGCTATAGTCATCAGAAAATAGTAAAAACATAGTATATCAGAATGAAGCCAAGTTGAACGCTTTAACAAGGTACTTTACATTCATTCATTATCTGAATAAATAAGAGGGAGAGATTTGATACGGGTAATTATTATTTTGTGGTTTTTAACTGAAGCCAGTTACATGATGTAGACAGTTAATTACATCAGTTGGAAGTCAGATCAGATATCAGTAGTTGAAATGGTACCAAAAATGCTGATAACTACTATCTATAAAAGTTGATAAATCTTCTTCATATAGACTAGAGTTCAATTTTAACTTCCTACTTTTCTGCAACAACTGATCAAATGAAGATAGCACATGCTTGGCAGCATGCTATTGTGCTACTATTGATATTCAGCATACTACGACTTTCCATTCCAGAGTTATCCCTCCTTTGCCGAAAACCTTGTGAATTGTGATAGAGGCTACATTTTTTAATAGAATCGTTTATTATTTAGTGTGAAGCATTGAGGTCATGAGAGGATGAACCAAATTGATGTTCAGCTTGCCGTGAGCTTTCTTCCAGATTTTCATACGCCAACATTTAAGTGTAGGCATATTATGTTATTGTCTGTCCGTCTACAATTGGCTCATTAACGCAATAGAGGCTTGAATTTGTAATAGATTTTTTTTTCAAAATTAGTGTGATGCATTAGGGATTTTTCTGTTCAATAGTTACTTACCCCTTGTTCACACGATTGAGGCTACAGTTTTCAACAGGTTTGTTTGAAGTACTCTATCGTTATTCAGTTATATGCAACCTTCTGTACCAGAATTCCCCCCCCCCCTTCTCCCTTTGCCAAAAACATGGTCAACGGGATAGAGGCTACAGTTTTGTTTCAGTACAGTCTTATCAAATGTCTTGCTTGGAGAGTGCTACCTTTGTTTTTTTGAGGATTGTTTCCCTTTTCCCCATTGTATCACTGGGGTCAAACCTTGCCTCCGCTGAACCTTTGGGATCCTTCCACCCATAATCGAGGCGGTCACGGTAGCTAAGTGGGTAAGATGCTGGCTTGCTAGCCTGGAGGTCGGGTGTTCGATCCCTGCATTGGTCGAGAAAGTTCATCCTGAACGGCTGATGGCTGAATGGTTAGCGTGTGCACGCTGTATCATAAAGTCTTGCCATTGAGTCAACTGCCGTGGTTTTGATTCCCCGGTTGTACGTGACAAGGAGTAGGGTCACCTGTCCAACCCCACCTGTCCAACCTCGTGGGTTTTCTCTGGGTCCTCTGATTTCCTCCCACTGCCAAAGACCCCTACGCACAAGCGAATTATTGAAATAAAATTAAACCATATGTTAGTCCCGAAATGACCTAGTTTGTGTCGAGTGGACTTAAACCCCATTTCTCTATCTCTCCACCCATAATCATAGTAAGGGTCCATCTTCATTAGCCCAGTTGGAGCAAAACAGTAAGACTTTAAACCCCATTTCATATCTAGTAAGAATTTTATTCGTCATAGTTTAAATTTATATTTTGTTGCATGTGGAACTTAGTTCCTAGTGTTGGTTAAAATAATGATTTCTTAATAGATTAAATCTAACTTCAAACACTCAACTGTTTGTATGCAGTTTAGAAAGCAAATAAACAAAATCCATAAGTATGTTTAAACAGAAATATGTAATTCAGTATGCAACTTTTTTAATAAATGTACCTTGAAAAGATGATTTCTTATTAAACCTTGAACAATATCATATTACTTCAAGCTGTTGTTTGTTTTTTTATTTTTTTTAACAAAAATTGTTATTAAGTTGTCTTAACTTATATGCCTACATTTTCATGTGGACGTATATTGTCGTCGCCCCTGTCGGTTCGTCAACACTCTACAGGTCACAATTTTTATCTGATTTTGACGGAACTTGAAATATAGGTTTATATTCCAAAGATCTCTTTTCCTTTTGATATTCGTGCATATTGGATCGTAACTTCCTGGATAATGAATGGCCCCTGTTTTACAAAAAATCGCTTTTTTTTTTTTTTAGCTCATTCTCTGTCCATCTTGCAAAATGTGGGCGTATCTTGCATGGCAACTACTTGTAATGAACTGTTATATAATACCCTTTTTCTGTTCAAGTTCCTCTTTAGATAATACACTCAGAATTTCAGAAACTTTTGTTGTCCTTCTTGTTGGGGTATTTCTTTAGATAATGTTTTACAAAATTGTTTATTCAAAGAATTAAATAATCTTTAAACATATTTATAGGCGTCTATTGCAACGTCCACAGATTATGTTTTGATGAGTCAGTTTATTATTGTGTTGTTAGGGCAAACTTCTTGTTTCCCACGCAAACCAAACAGTCTAGTTGCTTTTTATATTGATATATTTAAGTGGAGCTCTCTGTAAAATACATGTGTTGATATAGTACTGATGTTTGGATCCACTGAACAGGGGGCATATGCAGTATCTAGGAGAAAAGGGGTGGAGGGTCACAAAATTTGTAAATTACTTAAATACTAGTATTAAAGGGATAGAGTTAAATACCCATAAGTACCGCATTATTTTGATTGATTAACTCAGTTATTACACATGATAGTACCTCCAGGGGACCCATGCAAGCATAATCCGGCTATCTGTTTCTTAATTAAGTACAATAAGGATGAGCAGGAAGGTAGACTCTTCTATACTCCCAGATTTTACAGATCTTATTATATTATGTAGAAATGAAATTGGGTTTAAGGTCCTACTTTTCTGCATCAACTGGGCTAATAATGACAGAAATGAAATGAAATGAAAAGGGGTTTAACGTCCTATTGTTCTGCTCCTAAACTGGGCTAATGAAGACGGGCATACGCCATACAGTGTGCTATGAGAGAAAATTTGCCCGGGCAGCGGGCTACGGCCTACTCTTATATCGAGTTCCAACTGCCAAGGGATCTTTTATGTGCACCCCAATGTGTACACGGGACCTCGGTTTTTCGTCCCATCCGAACGACTAGACAGCTGTCCTTGTCAGGTCCTCCATCCTGCTAATGAAGACAGACATACACCATGCAGTATGTACTATGAACAAAATTTAAACTATCTTTGATTATATTAAGTGTGATTATTTCATATTTATATATTTCAGATTTTGTCCATCTATAGAATCAAAGATACTGAGATTTCCTGGAAGAAAACATCAAGTCTGGTTGGAACCTGAGGGTAAGTAGGCTACTATTTAAAGCCAGTAGATGAATTAATTTTTCTATAAACACTAAGGGTATTCAAACCACTTTCTAGATCAATTAATACCACATCAATTAATTATCGCTGATATCTGAGTATCTAAGGTTTTTGTTACACATTAGTAGTGAAGTCTATGGTACATTCTCCATCATTATTAGTCACTACCAATGAAACCAGAGCAGACTGTCATTTTTATTTGTCGGAATTGGTCTTTTTTCTGAAAATTTTAGATATTTGATTGAAATTTGTTACATTCCTGTATATTTAGTTGAGTTATTTATCACAATTGCATTTAGTGGGATTCCGTTAATGAATTATACACTTTGATTCCTAAGCTTTTTTTGAAAATTATGTTTTCCAGAATTATTTTATTAATTGAAGGATGGTACACAGCTGTATATAGCAATACTCTCAAAATCCTTGTTAATTCATAGGACTAAGTCTGTAGGGTAGGTGACAGATGGCCCAAGGTGTTGTGCTTGGGGATTACAAGTCTGTTATCTAAAGCAGTGGACACATTAGCCGAATCGATCGGCCGAATCAATCGGGGCCGAATTTTATTCGGCCGAATGGGTGGACACACTAGCCGAATGCTTCGCCCAATTCAACCTTTCGATTGCATCACCTTTCACGTCACATGATTAAACATGGCGGCGTCTATGTCTTCAATCTATCATGTGACTTCTCGATATGACTCATGAGTAGTGATTGGCTAATGAATTTTATATTCGGCCGAATGCTTCGGAGAAGCGGACACACCAGGCGAATATAATTCGGCCGAATAAATTTTTGGCCGAATATATCAAACCTGTTTGATTCGGGCGAATCATTCGGCCGAATAGAAATTCGGCCGAATGACAGTGGACACACTAGGCGAATTTCGACGCCGATTGATTCGACCAAATCAATCGGCTAGTGTGTCCACCGCATTAGCAAGCAACTTGTTTGAGAAGAATAATGATTGCATTCTTAACCCATTGGGTTTTCTCTAGTTTACTGCCACTTCTCCAGGCATGCAAGTAAATTATTGAATGAATTAAAGATATAACATGTGTTACTACAAAAATGACCAGTACTGGTAAATCCCATTATTTTCTAATTCATGTAACATTTTACTTGCAAATATGTTCTTTATATAGGAGGTGCAACATAAAGTTGTTCGGATGGGACGAAAAACTGAGTTCTAATATACACATTGGTGTGCACACAAAAGAACCCTTGGCAGTTGGAATTTGATATAAGAGTAGGCTGTAGCACACTGTATGGTGTATGCCCATCTTCATTAGCCCAGTCCTTGTAGGATGTTAAACCCCATTTTATTTCATTTCTTTATATAGGTTTTGACAGTGAGGTGATCTATCCTAATGGAATATCTTGTACTATGCCAGAAGAAGATCAACATAGATTGGTCAAGTCAATACCTGGATTAGAAAATGCTCAATTAGTGCAACCAGGTGAGTTTAATACTCAATCAAGTGAATGTTTTTTTTAAATATAGATTATCAGATAATGATCATGATTGGTGAATGCTAATTGTAGGCCAGTTGGGGAGGTTCGGGAATATAACCCTTTTAAGAAGAGTAAAGGTAAATTGGATCCAAGTTCTGTTTTCTAAAAAGGGTTAGGGTTAGTATTCCCCAAAAGACTAATTTATATAAAGCGGCCATTGTGGACTCTGGAAATTCCTGAACCTCCCCAACCGGCCTACAATTAGCATTTCCCATAATGATTATAGTACGACCAGTCTTCCTCTTTTGTTAAGGAAACTCTTGGCTCTTGAGGTGGGCGGCAAGTACAAGCTTACTGCAATAAGAACCACTTTAGTAGAATGTCTGGGGTTGGAATCCAGTCTTTATCAAGAAGAACCAAGAAAATGTACAAGTCTAATTCTTCAAGAGATAATGGTTGCCATACAAATGTTGTTGTTTTTTTTTTAAAACTAAGTCAATGGGGCAACTTTAATCCCAAGTCATATTATTTTATTTGGTCAATATAGTGGTAGGTAGCTGTCACAGATTTCTCTCATGAAGCGACTAGAGATTAAAGGAACTAAGTTTTTATTCTTTGGCACCTGGAAATGAACACAAAGCATATAATAATGTAATATGAATGTATATAAACTGATTTACGCGAAGAATGGCAATCTTTGGCATCTGGTTATTCCAGTCTACACCAGTAGTATTCTCCTACATGGGATATGTTTAGCTTCATTCATTGAATCGCTTCATACAACCGACGTTTCAAAGCATAAGTCGTGTTTGCAATATCGAAGACTGTGAACGATATTGAGTTAAAGATTTGGCTCTTTTAAACTTATTAAATGGCAAGGCTGTTCTAATCCATGAAACATCTAAGCCATCTGATGGCTTAAAGAGTTTGAATCTGGTCTTGTCATGTTAATAAATTTCTAAATAATTCATACATTTGAAGCTAGAAAAAAAAGACCTGCAATAGTACTTCTTTAACGTAAATAGTATTGTTATTAGGTAATGAAGTACATTCAAGTATAATAAAAACTATTATGAAAAATGGGATGACCTGTAAGAAAAATATAGAAATGTTATATTACTTTTGTTTGACAGAACTTGATTGATTTGAGGGGGTTTAGTGGTTAATGTGTGCATGTTACATCATAAAGTCTGTCATTGAGTCAAGTGGCGTGGTTTCGATTCCCTGCTTGTACACGAAAAGAAGTAGGGTCGCCTGTCCAATCTCATGGATTTTCACTGGATCCTCTGGTTTCCTGCCACTGCTAAAGACCCCTACGCACAAGCAAATTATGGAAATAAAATTGAACAATATATTAGTCTCGAAATAACCTAGTGTGTGATGAATTGATGTTAAACCACATTTCTCTCTCTCTTTATGTCATTGAACAGGTTATGGTGTAGAGTATGATTATATAGATCCACGACAGCTGAAACCATCACTAGAAACTCTTCGTATACAGAACTTATTCCTTGCAGGTCAGATTAACGGAACAACAGGGTATGAAGAGGCAGCCGCTCAGGTTTTAAAACATCTTTTAAATTTACTCAAGTTCATTGATTGAGACAGAAAACTATTTAAGTGTTTGCTCTGTACATCCATTGATTTACACAGCTTGCAGCACAAATTTCAAAATGTCAAGCACTTTCCACAAGGGTACAAGAGATTGAATTACACATTATATTTATTTTGTAGTCCTGTTAAAAAGACAGATCCAGATAAAGTGAATTAAAATTTCCAGTGGATTTTTTGATGCACTTCTTTCAAAATCCAATAATTATTTTTAGAATATAAAGCATTAATTTATAGATCTAAATTTTGATTTCTTGGTTGTTTTTTACTTCTTTTGCCTCCACTGCAATGTAGACTTGACTGGTTGTAGTGGGATTGAAATAATGACCTTCGAGGACAGCAAACAGTATACAAAATTATAAAATAAAAGTACAAAAATTATACACTGGCACAAAATCATCAATATAAGATCCTATTTCGTTTCGTTTTTTTATAGTTCAAAATTTTGTTTTACTTATCTTTACTACACTAGGATCTGGAAGAGTTGTTATATTACTGGCATTCTGGTTGAAACGAAGGATCAGTCAATGAAACGGTCTGTTACGGCGAGTTCTTGGCGTGCGATGCACGTAACTGTAGGTAAACCACTAGAAACGTCAACACTGATTGATTAATCAATGTCTGATGTCATAGGGTCAAAAGCCACTCATGCGACCCCAGGCGCGACCTTTCAGTACAACCAGTCAGATCTTCATGTTGTGTATAGGCCATCGAAAGTATCAAAAAAATGAAACGAAATATAGATTTGTATTTTAATCAGTTTGCAAACTCATAATCTATGACTGAATTAGTCTGACCATATGTAAATTATCTTTATAAGAAATTTGGAATTTTGTAGAGAATGAACAGAATTTTGACAACCCTCTAAACCTCTTGTGAAGAAATATATCTGATATCCTGCTTTCAATTATTGAAATGTGAACCCAAATTTTATGAACGTATTATTGATCACATTTAATTTTGTTCTCTTTATCAGGGTATTATAGCTGGTATTAATGCAGGGCTAAAGGTGAAAAATAGGCCAGCATTTATTATAGATAGAACAGAAGGTTATATAGGTGTTTTAATAGATGATTTGACAACTCATGGTACCAATGAACCTTATCGTATGTTCACCAGTAGAGCAGAGTTCAGATTATCTTTAAGACCTGATAACGCTGATATGAGACTCACAGAAAAAGGTAGCAGTATGATATCCTCTTTCTCAATTATCTCAAATCTACACCAACTTTATGACTAAAAGTAAAAAAGAAAACCTATAACAGATCTTTACTTGCCGCTTGTGGGCCAAGTTGTCTAACAATGCGCTGTATAAAGTCTGTCATCTCTATAGTCTTGGCAAGTAAATGGCTTGACAAACGTCATCTCCACTATGTATAAAATAATTCTGTTATATATTCTTTATTATATGATGTCTATTAATTCATTGTGTGAATAAACATCTAAAGTTGTGTGTATCAACATTTGACATAAGACGTGTATTGACCCTTTCACTTCCATGAAATGTAGTGAATATATAACTATTCAAAAAAAGTAGGGGATATTTGATTTTGGGGGCATAATACTAAAATATGCAAATGACTACGAAAAAAGTCACTATAGAACCTAACAGAAGAAACATTTCCAGTTACATGTGACGCCCAAACGCACCAATAGCTACCGCATGGAATGCAGGTGATGCTTGGGATCATCATGGGGGTCCAACCCAAGATTTGCACGACTCTGACTTTGAATGTTACAGTCATTGTGGCATTGAATTCCAGGGTGGAAACATCAGTTTAATTGTTTTAGTGACCAGAAAACAAATTTTGATATGCGTCGGCTTACCCAAAATGAAAGGTTACGTGCCCTTGGCATGCTACAGATCGGCACAACACAGGCGGTTGTGGCGCGGACGATGAATGTTTCTCAGTCTGTCATAAGCAGGCTATGGTCCAGATACCGTGATACACAATCTGTACAGGACAGACCACGCTCAGGTCGACCAAGGGCGACAACTCAAGCCCAGGATCGATTTATCCGTACCTTGGCCTTGAGAAATCGTGTCATCACAGCAAATCAGATCAGCGCTCGTCTTCAAACAGACACTGGTGTGAGAGTGAGTGGCCAGACGATTCGGAATCGACTGCATAGGGGTCACCTTCGCGCCCGACGTCCTCGCGTGATCCCTTGTTTGAGAGATCATCACATTCAGGCAAGACGTCGTTGGTGTAGGGATTGTCAACACTGGGATAATCGACGCTGGAGCAATGTGATGTTTTCAGATGAGTCAAGGTTCACTGTTGATTTTTTGGACAGACGTAGGAGGGTGTGGCGTCGTCGAAACGAGCGCTTCCAAGACGTTAACGTCATCAGACATGATCGATTTGGGGGTGGTTCTGTTATGGTGTGGGGAGGCATCACTGTTGCTGGAAGAACGGCTTTACATGTTGTTGCAGGGCGTGTTACAGGCCAGTACTACCGGGACAACATCTTGGCAGTCCATGTTGTGCCGTTCGCACGACGTCATGGCCGCCGTTTCATCTTCCAGGATGACAACGCAAGATGTCACAGGGCCAGGATCGTTACAGGTTACCTCCAACAACAGAACATCACCACATTACCTTGGCCAGCACTGAGTCCCGACCTCTCCCCATCGAGCATGTCTGGGACATGTTTGGACAGAGGTTACGTCAACGTCAACAACGTCCTGCCAATGTCCAAGAACTTGCTGCTGCGTTGCAACAGGAATGGGACAATCTGGACCAAAATGACCTTAGACGTCTCATTAGGAGTATGCCACGTCGGATCAATGCTTGTTTGGCAAACAGAGGAGGATTTACCCGTTACTGACTTGGTTGTGATGCTGTGTTAACTTTGCTGTTTGACCCCGGGTATCATTTTACCCTTATAATGGTCAGTCTGTGCCTTACTTAGTCTAACGATCATTTGGAATAAATCGATGAATGTGAACTTCATTTCATTTTGTCATTTGTTTCTTCGTCAGTTTCATTAGGTGACTTTAATAACACTTAAAAATCAAATATCCCCTACTTTTTTTGAATAGTATATATATTGTAAATAATATCACTATGTATACAGAACATATTATTGTCTGCGATATCACCTCGTTGGAAGCGGACGTAAAATAAAGTTGTTTCACACACACATATATATATATATAAATTGAAATGTAGTCCACCACTCAAGGTGGAAGGGGACTTTAAGCCCCAAGGAACGAATGAACCAGCAGTACACTGCTATATCTTCTTAGAAGGAAGCAGACATAAACACAGGTACATGGAGACATAAACGTTATTTGTGGTTTCCTGTAATATTAGCCTATATAATATGAGATTTTTCAAAACACAACTTTTTTCTTTTTTGTTCTTTCTATATTTCAAAACACAAATATGTTTGATAGTAAATATGACATTATTTGACACCAAATACAAAGACAAAAAAAAGATAAACTAAAATTTTGAAAAACTGACAAATTAATATCACATATATAGGGCACAATAAGGGTGATCCTGTCCTTATGTACCTGTGGAGATGAAATGAAATGAGGTTTAATGACCTACTGTTCCGCTCCGACTGGGCTAATGAAGACGGGCATACACCTTACAGTGTGCTATGAGGGAAAATTTGCCCGGACAGCAGCACTCCAGTCTACACGTAAACTGAACTTTCTCGGCCAACACCGGGATCAAACATCTGACTTCCAGATTAGTGAGCCAACATCCTACTCACTGAGCCATCAGGGCTCCCATGTACCTGTGGATGTAAACTCTTCTTATAATAGTAGTAAACAGATGAGAATGAATGAATAGGCAAAGCTGAAAAATATTTTGTTTTGGGAACACAACATGATTTTTCAAACAACAGCTTTCTGAATCACATATACTGAAAATAAAAATGATCCTTGCTCTGCGGAATAAGAAATATTCAAACCAATGTTTATTTGTCTTTTAGTCAGATGGGTGGGGGAAGGGGAGGGGTGGGGAGCTGGTTTGCTGAATGGTTTAACGCATCTGTGTTAGATCATAAAGTCTGTCAGTGGCGTGGTTCTATTTGTGACAAGGAGTTGGGGCACCTGTGGTTTCCTCCGACAGGTAAACACGCCTATGAGGATGCATGTTATTGAAATAAAATAAACCATGTGTTAGTCCCGAAATGACCTGATTTGTGTCAAGTGGATCTTAAACCCATTTCTCTCACTAATTTGATTTAATGGATGACATTGTTGCTATTTATAGGTTATAGTACAGGTTGTGTCCATGAAGAAAGGTTGCAGAAGACTGTCAAACTTAAACAAGAAGTAGAAGACAGTATGGCATTGTTGAAATCTGTACAGAAAAAAAATAATGCATGGAAGAAAGATTTTGGAATTGTTAACAGAGACTGTCATCTATATAAAAGGTATAACATTATTTATTTATTTTTATTTATTTTTATAGGTAGCATATTGCAGAGAAACTTTAAATACCAAATAAAGTAAACACATAAAAATGGTATGTTCTTGAAGGTCTTGTGTTTTGATATGCCAAAGACAAAGATTAATCTAGAAAACTCAGTTAACATGTTAACTGAAGCATGGTGTGAATAAACATAGGCAAGAAGTTGATGTATATCAGAAACATGTTGGGCTTGTCTGCAATATCTCTGTAGGTGAAAGTGGAAGTTAAGCCCCAAGGAAGAAGAAAAAGAGAGAGAGAGAAATGGGCTTTAACGTCCACTTGACACAAACCAGGTCATTTCTAGACTAACATATGGTTAATTTTATTTCAATAATTCGCTTGCGCGTAGGGGTCTTTAGCAGTGGGAGGAAACCGGAGGGCCCGGAGAAAACCCACGAGGTTGGACAGATGACCCTACTCCTTGTCACGTACAACTGGGGATTCGAAACCACGCCAGGTTGACTCAATGACAGGCTTTATGATACAGCGTGCACATGCTAACCATTCGGCCATCCAACCCCCCAGAAGAGAAAGACTATTGTGTGTAGTGTTTGTGATGTCACACACAAGCATCTATTCTGATGTTACTGTAATTGAATAAAACTGAAAGGTTTTTTTTTTTTTTGAGCATGTCATACAGGTCAACGGTCATATCTGATAATTTCAATCATATTTTTGTGGAATTGGAGTATTGTGTATATAATTACACTGACTTTAAGTAGATACCATATTAATTATGGATTCATTGCGTGATATGCTCTTCAAGCAGACATTCATCAATACATTCCTCTAATTGAAGTGGCCTCATTAAGGCCAGCTGGAAGAAGTAAAAAAAAGTTTGTTAGTTGCAACTGCCCAAACTCTATGAGACCTATCAACTCCTTGTGATTGACCAATACTGAAGCAACATAGATACCAAATTAGGTTGAAATATTTTAAGCAGCTTAGAAAAGGACATAAGGTATAAAATTTGAAAAAAAAAATGTTTTAATCCGAATTGAAATAGCTTATAAAGGGGGGCTTATGTAGTGATTGTGATCCGGTGAGACTGTGATTGGGTTTGATGCAACTAAGAGTTGCATGAATTAGTCAACAGAAGCTGTCTTGCGATATGATGTTACCGTGAAAAAAGCCAGTTGCAGTTATGTGCTACTTTCCTGAACATTCACTGTATTTCACAGTTTTCCTCAGGCATCCATTACTTCATTTGTGTACATACAAATAAATGGTCCACGAGCGTTTGGACAACAAAAGTATATCTGTATTCAAAGAACCGATAATACATGGACCGTGAAAGAGCAGAATCAGCTTTTAAGTAATTTATTGCCAAGTTAGGCGATGGTGTTGCCATTTTGTACTGATCAAATGTTTGTTATGTGGTTTCTTTAACCTTAGTTGGCAGCATGGTCAGTTGTTGCATGTGCTTGCAACTAAATGTGCATTTCCAGTTGAACACAATCGTGTCGGATTGCAAGGGCTGTATATAAATGCGACTTAAAGCTGAACTAAGTGATTTCAATCCCGGTCTCAATAAATTGTCATTCAATATTTCTTTTAAATCTTTATTCTGGTTTATAATTATAGTGCCTATGATATGTTGACTTTTCCGGGTATAACTGTGGATAAATTAGCAGATAGATACCCAGAGTTATTCGGCCATCTTAAAGGTAGAAAGTCACTCCAAGAAAGATTGGAAGTTGAAGGTAAATTATGTAATAGTGCAGTTTTAAAAGAAAAAAAGACATCCATAAACATTTCCTTGGTCTTCCCTTTTAGATTTCTGCATTAGATACCACTCCCCGTCAAGAATTCCTCCAGCTCCTTAGAGGCTCAGTGAGGAAGGCAGTGACTTACTAACTAGATGGTCCCGGGTTCAATCCTGGTGTTGATCATGATAGTTCTTCTGAATTTTCTAGCCTGCGGTTTCTGTTTTTGTCAGTTGTGCAGGACAGTGTTTAGTTATTGTGATTCTCTGAAAAACCGAGGTCCTTTGTTCTTGTAAAAAAAAACCCTTAACGGTTTCAATTGGATGAAGAGTAGACAGAAATGCTGCAGCCTGGGCAGAATGTCACTCGTAGCATGGCTCTTGCAGAAAAATAGAACATTAAACATACATTATGCAAGAGCTAAATCTGCCTATTGCAAGTCTTTATTAAGGCTTCAGATGTTACAGAAATTATTAATTAGACCTTTATTTACACGGCAAGCTTAAAATCAACTCTGTAGACCCACGGATGGTTTGGATACAGTTTGGATTTAAACAGCCTCGTCCATTTAAAATTAAATCAATAAATGGCGAAACCAAGCTAACATTTACCGTTATTCGCTGATGTCACAACCGGAAACTTGTGATGAAAAGCCTGCCAAGCGAGGCCACCATAGCCAATGAGCACGTTACTTGATAATCGATAATATGTGGGTGGAGTTATCGTTTGTCAATCAAACAATCACCAATTCTCATAGACGGTGAAGACACAATTGATGACTATTTCTAGTCCAAACTTCTGACAGTGACAATTCTGTTAAGAACAAAGTAATTTGACTGAAATTTTTGACATTTTGTTTTTTTTGTCATCGATTTTTGAATTATTATAGCTTTATAAAACTCTTAACTAATGTATCTTTAAGCCTGATTTCATTGGACATTGTTTTAATGGTGATGATGATCTTGTATTATAGCTAGATATGCAAGTGATGTAGCCAGTCAACAGATGGAAATAAACGAAGTTAGAAGAGAAGAACAATTAGTTTTACCTGAACATCTGGATTATTTCAGGTAATTCAAATCTTTTCAAGTTAAAGAGTCATTCTGTTTACTATTTGCCATGATTTGACAAGTTCTTCAAATGATTTCACCAGGAAATGGGTTCTCACTTTTAAGATCCTTCACACCTGATGGCATAATCCCAAAGGCACCCCACTTATTTGTATACTTTGGCTTTGTTCACTGACCCTTCTGCACAATTTTCTTGAAATTCCCATCAGCTATATCTCTCTTATGCACCTACAGGGACCTAAGTTAACTCTGTGACTGTCAATAGCTAGTCCTGTAAGGCATTGTGTTTAAGTTAAATATGTTGTCGAAAAACTTTGGCAATATTACAAAGGACAATAACCAATCATCATGAACTAGTTCTTTTCAGACACCATCTTCATTAGCCCAGTTGGTGCACAACAGTAGGATGTTAAAGATGGGTTCCCAGAAAAGTATTTATCGGTTGGTTATTTCCAATAAAAGTATGGCAATTTTGGTATATATGGAAAGTAGAGATATCCAATCTTACTAGAAAAATACTGGATTCCCCGAAAAAAATTCATGGAGCGTATACAGGACAAAAATGTAAGGGTTCCCCTAATCGATGGGCTGTTGATTAGGAACTTCTGCACGCGAGATGTCAAAGGTCACAAGCGAACATTGAGCGCTTGATGTACAAGTTGATAAACTTTATGAAGAGTTAGACGTACAATACTTTCTGAGATAAAAATGACGGAAAAAGACGCGGGTAGTTAATAATTCGAGAATTTAATTAGGATTCGATATTTGTAATAAATAGTAAGCGATTAAAGACAACATCGTCTTATGTATGCAATGAATTCTCCTCTGACCTGGTTTGATCGAATTTTAATAGCAGGGCATTCCTTCGCAATTACAATGTTTGAGAAGGATTTGAAGCATAATTATGACAAATTAGTAAGTTTGAATATATTTTTGGTCCATATATACCATTAAATCACCAAGTTTGTACGCGGGAACCCATCTTTAAACACCATTCCATTTCATTTCACTTTTCTGACAATGAGCAACTGGAAAGCCATTTGAGAAGGAGTTAATCCATTCCTCGATTTATAGGCCTGGCAAGCTTAAGATCATTAAAAAATGAAAAGTTATTTGCAAAAAGGCATAAATGAATTTAAAATAACAGCACAGTAATCCTATAGAAAGAAATCAAATTACTCAATGTTCAAGTAGGTTTATATTTGAAGTCAACATCACTTAAAATTTATAATCAGAAAAAGGAATAGCCATCAAAGTTTTAGATATAAATAATTATTGTTTTCATTTAATTTGTTTCTATTTCAAGATTGAATATATCCGAGGATTCCAAGAATAAACTATCTGAGGCACGTCCTGCAACGGTAAGATGAAAATTAAGCCTAAATCATATCATATAACAATGGCTGATGAACTAGTCATACAGTGAATTTGATTGTCTTTTTTACAATAGTTACTGAATTTGACAAAGGAAGTAACTTTTATGTCATGTTGCCTGTCAACAAGCCTTGAACCAAATCTCTGCAGTTGAACAGATTTAATGATGTTCATTATGCAACATGAAAAATACATAGAAATGTACCTCTATCATAAAAGGTAAGGCCGAGAAAGTTCATCCAGATTTTCCAGCGTGATTTCCCCTGGATGGAGAGCCGGACAAGGACAGCTGTCCAGTTGTTCGGATGGGATGGAAAACCGAGGTCCTGTGTACACATTCGCGTGCACGTAAAAGATCCCGTGACAGTTGGAATTTGATAGAAGAGTAGGCCGCAGTGCCGCTGTCCGGGCAAAATTTCCCTCATAGTACACCGTATGGCATATGCCCGTCTTCATTAGCCCAGTTCGGAGCAGAACAGTAGGACGTTAAACCCCATTTCATTTCATTTCATTTCTATCATAAAAGAAGACAAAAAGACAGCCGTCATCAACTTTTAATGAATATATAGCATACTGTGGCTACTACCATGACCATCTCTTTTGTGACTTCTGCGTACATGGCAAGGAGGAGGGTCTCCTGTCCAACCTCGTGGGTTTTATATAAGTTCTCCTGTTTCGCCCCACTGCTAAAGACTTCAACCCCCAAGCTTATTATTGAAATAAAATTGAACCATACATTAGTCCCGAAATGACCTACTGTTTGTCGTGGATATTAAAACATATTTTTCTCTCTCGCTTTTGGTGAGTGATGTGGACAACCTGATCACATGTTATTACGTGTCTTTACATCAGGCTTTAGCAACACATTTGCTGTGATTGGATTGTTGTGTTTTACAATCCATGTTTGTACTGTAACCCCATGTTCCTTAACCCAGTCTGAGCAGAAAAATAGGATATTAAACCCCATTTCATTATGTACTATAAACATTGTTATTAAAGGTAGATAACTCTATTTACAGATAGCTGCTGCCAGTAGAATACCAGGTATTACACCAGCTGCAATATTTATATTACTGAAACATGTTCAAAGAGAATTTAAAGTTAACAGAAATAATATTGGTGTTTCCTGAGAGATAGTGAATTTTAAAAATGGATAAGAAAAAGAGATTAAATGCTTGGTGTGTGAGCGTAGTATTTATGATGTGCAAAACAAAAAGTGACATAAATGTTAACAGTTTGTGATTGTGTCCTAAAAAATTCTAAGGGGATGATCGATTGTCAGTCCGGAACGTCCCGAATTGACAGAATCGCAATCAAGTGATACGGAATTAAGTCCTGTCACAGTTCTGTCAATCCAAACAGCTGAGGTGGTGTGTGAGTAGAATCGTGACGTATTTTAGTTAGCAAATATGTTTCAGCTGCCATGATTGGTTGAGATATTTTATATGCAGTCGGCACATGCGTTGTACTCCGAAATTCTCCTTTTCACTCGATTGACACTATTTTTGGGATTGAGAGAATTCAATTCTGGAACGTTCAATCAAGCATCTCCTAAATGTTATAAGTGGTGAAAATTTATAAATCTGAAAATGATTTATTTCCACAGCAGCAGCATTAAAATAAACTAACAACTAAAATGGCAGAACAATACGATGTGCATCTTAGGAAACAATAAAATGTTACTCTAATTTATATCAAATGTTGTTAAGCCTATCTCACTGGGGGGAGCTGTGGTGGCTCAGTAAGACACTGGCTCGCTAGCCTAGAGATCTCAGGTTTACTCCCATTGTTGGCTGAGAAAGTTCCTCAGGATTCTCTGTCGTGGTTTCCCCTTGTCAGTGGTGCTGGATGGAGGGCCTGGCAAGGGACAGATGTATAGTTGATCAGATGGGATGAAAAACTGGGGTCGTGTGTACGCATTGGCATGCACGTAATAGAACCCTAGACAGTTGGAATTTGATATATATTGGGCCCTATCACACTGCATGACATATGCTAGTTTCTATTAGCCCAGTCGATCTAGAAAAGTAGGATGTTAAATCCCATTTCATTTTATATCTCACTGGGATGCGACTGTTTGCGAGGGACATTCAACATTTCATGAACCACATGGCATCGCTCTCATGTTGCTACAATTTTTGAACATATACTCAATATATTCATTATTCTCTATCTATTTTTGAACTATTATAGCACAAACAGTCAGCTCTTAAATTATATCTTACATAAGGCATCTTCAAGTAAAGCATAGTTACAATTACAAAGACATTATTATTTCACGAACTGAAGAGCATGAAAAGTTTGTTATTTGAATTATTATTATCACTGTTGTTCAAAAACATGTTTGAAATAAATGTGTTTTTATGTTAGGCTTATAGCTCTGAATGGGAGATGACTCTTGAAGTGTTTTTGGAAGATCATTCCACATTCCACTTTAGAACACTTTTTATATTTTGGAATCCTCAAAGGTGTATGAAAACACAGAGATTGGAAAATATTGTAATTAATAACTATATCTTCATCTTTGATTTTTGATACAAGATCAACTTCTCCATAAAAGTTTCCCTTTCTTTTCTGTCCCTGACTGCTGCTAATTTTCATCACTATTCTGTTTAGGAAAAGACTACAGTTCCATGGTACTCGTTATTTAGACCTATAGCCACCATTTTCTACCTCATAATTAGCGGTCAAATTTCTTAAAATGGACAATGTACATTATATACATATTTTACATATGTTAAGTGAAAAGCTGTTATATCTCATTGATCTAATATTAATTGAAAAAAAAATAGGTGTGGAATTTATGGCCTATGGTAAGGTATGTCATATTAAGCAGGATGTTAAACATCATTTCATTCTTCCATTATAACATATAAATACAGCATGTCATACACTTTATGACAATATATTATGCTTTTAACAATAGTCATCACAAAAAAAAAACAGAAAAGAAAATGCAACTAAAATCTCAAAAAAATTGAATTCATTTCTAGGTTGGTAGGAGAACTTCGTAGTCATGTGATCTGTGGAAAAAATCCGAAACAAATGATTCTTGCTTTTTATGAAAGGGCTAGTTGAGTACAACTATAGAAAAAAATCCACCAAAATCGGCTTTGGTCAAAAAAAAATTACAGGCGTTCTGGTTTTCTAACCCACCCGACACCTTAAATCCCGCTTTCTGGCAATTTTTCTCATCATTCGTCATCGTTTTCGGAATGCTGAGAATATATTTGGGTATCACAAATGCTTAATTTCCGCTATCATAGACTATCAACAAAATCATTATCGTCTCATTAAATGAGTGAATTTCCATGTTGGGAAATTTAATTGTCAAGACGTCCATTATTACCCCAACCCCAAAAGCTGAAGTAGATCAGGGCATTTACTAACGGCATGAAATTTGTTGCATAATGTTCAGTATCTTCACATGCATGAGCACAGTGACAACTGTGAGATATTTTCACTTGTAGTGTAAACTCGCCAGGCGTGCCGAATTCCACATTTGGCAGCGATACTGGCATCGATACCTAATTGCCTCACACGAAAGGTTAAGCCAGATGAGCCCATTTACTGATCGCACAAAACCTGTTGCAAAAGGCAAAGCATAAATGCAAAGCATAAGAATGACAATCTAATTGTTCCACCCCAAAAGCTAACGTACATTACCACATGACTAACGTATAACATGTACCTGAAAACCATCAAAATATCCCAACGAATAATAAATGGCCACTCCCAAGCATTTCTAGTGGTGAAGTACCCCTGCCATGCGGAGCGTGCAGACTCAATTGGACCGTTCCTAACAATAATTGTCTCACTGCTCTCACTTAACTCTATCTGACCATAACATTGCATCTCATTATGACCCTATAATGATTTTGTTCATGAATCCTGAACGAAAGAATCCAATTCTGATCCAGAAGAGGACGTATACTAACTTCTAGGTTATTTTAAATGCTCATCGACTCTTGAATTATCTTATACGAAACATTCAGACATGTCACATATAAATCACAGGTTACTAAAGCGGCGTTTACACGATACAATCAATCCATACAACCGTCGGATGCAACCGTCGCATCCGACCAACTGATCAGACAAATGATCGGATGGACGGCTTATTGCTTGGATAGGATCAATTCTATTCTCATCCGACCAACTCGTACAATAGCCAATCAAAGTGCGTTATATTAGACAACGTCATACGCCGTATGACGTCATATCTGACTTGGCAACCAGAATTTCTGATTAAAGATGTCTTCTTCCGTCGCTTCGAGTACTTTGATGTCCTCTAAAATGAATCCAATTATATCCTGGACTGAATTAGAAAATCTAATAACGTATAGGAAGCAAGGTCATTGTTGAACCCGCGGCATCAACAGTCAACACTACACGAAGACGTGGATGGGAAGTGTTCGTTCGTTTCTGGGGTTTTACGTCCACTTCCACCTAAGGTGATATCGTAGACAAGTGGGAAGTGTCGTCTTACTGTCATTTTATTCAGTTACTGAGAAAAAATAAAATTTATTTAATGTTGCCCTATCGTGTAAATGGTCGTCTAATATGTTGCATCCGACGGTTGTATGGATTGATTGTATCGTGTAAACGCCGCTTAAGATGCGCATTTCTACCAACGTTTCGATGGTGATTCTCTCGTCGTTAAGAAATGAAAAACTGTGTATGTTCAAATTATCCGACGTCCCGGGCCACCAGCTCGCCTTCACATTTAACCTTCTGATACATATAACATTTTTCGCGACAGATGAAGCCAATGCCAAACTATACACCCTTGTGAAAAGCCACCAAGCCAGGAAGAGCAACCAACTAAAACTCATCAACCAAGCACTTGCTAAAAACATCTCAGAATGAATATATTGTTAAAGCGGTTATAATTGTAGCCAACGTATACCCTCCACACAGGTAACCCGATGTCTCTACTACCACACGAACCTCAAGTTTGTATCCAAAACCAAATCTTGGAACCATGATTATTATATCGCCAGTATTGAGAAGAGATTACGACAGTCAGCAACATATGAGGTAAAGTCGACTTAGCTACGACACCAAATCTGCGATATCATCTTCAAATTCCCAAAACAATCCAACAACCACATCAAAAGAATACACGAAGCCCTCAAAGAACTTAAGGAAGACAGGGCCAACACCACTGTACTGTAATAAAGGATACACCCGACTACGTCAGCACGATCTCATTTCTGATCATCAAACAAAACACCTGAAACACCCCAAATCCCTTAACTTGTCTGCCACAATCAAAACCCACTCAACGCCAGACTATTCTCACTTGACTCAAAAGATTTCTGTAATAACACCAACGTAAGCTCGTCTCCTAAGCTGTGGTCGACACCACACCACAAAGTCAGCAAAACCTGATCCATCGTCCATACGCGTCAGCATTCCGTTCAATGTCGGTTCATCCTACCAATTCAGACGAGTATGGTAGAGTAGAGCTTATTAGTTTCGCTAATAATATTGTGCAATATACTCTTCAAAAAAAGTAGGGGATATTCAGAAACAATATAAAACTGCGGAAATGCACTGCTGTTTTTATTAGAGCTAACCAGTGTATGTTAATAACAGGCCAATTGCCTACACGTGAACATAAACAGTTCATATGTGGGGCTTATCTGACGGTCCCATTTCACTCGCAAAGAGATACACCGTCAAAAGTGAAAATGGACGTTTTTAATTTTTGTCTTAATAATGAGTAATTGCTCCACCAATCCTCAGACATCCAGCAATTCGTCGTGGCATGCTCCGAATCAACCGTCCAATCACGATTTGGGGCAATCTGACCCACTCCTCTTGCAGTGTCACGGCCAATTCTTGCAGTGTTGTCGGTTGGCGTTGACGTCGACGAACACGTCTCCCGATCAAATTAAACGTAACACACTAAAGCAAAGATACGCTAAACAGTAAATTTTATGCATGAACCGATATGAAAGCAAACATGGATAGATAAACCAGCACGCGGCAGTTTTCATCAACCCTTCCTTGAAGTGTCAAATTTGACAATGAACCACTCCCACTTGTATGGCGCTATTGCGTGTCGCAAGTGCAGCTCAGTGGTTCTCTTGGAGCGATAAGTTCTTCACCTGTGAACATACTCCCAAAGCATATCAAATGGCTATTTATCATATCGCAACCTGCATAGTTATTTGCATTTCAATATTCCCTACTTTTTTTAAGGGTATATTATAAAAATTATGGTGTTGAACGTGTTAATGGTCAATTGATAATGTATTTAGGCTGTCTAAAGTTGAGGATAACCATCGGGCATCATCAAATTTTTCCGGCATTGGCTCAATTATGAAAAATAAAATTTTAGTGAATATAAAATGAAAAATGTGAAAATTATTATCTCCCGCAAAAAGAATTGCCTGAAATCCGGAACTTTTACTGACCATTATCCGGGGGTGATGCAATTTCCAACCGGAATTGAGAGTTTCAGAAAATCACACAATTTTGATATTTATTCAGGGTGAATAGTTCTCAAACTCAAACTACAGTACCAGAAGATTCGCTCCGTTATAGGCACTAATTTCCAGATTCTATTACGGTTATTTAGATGTAAAGTTATGTAGGGTCATCGAGCGCTGATACATGATTTCCCATGCTTAGTACTCAATTTTACTGATGTTATAAGTGTTTTCTGACCATCAGAATTCTGCAAAATCT